GTGGTGGTGGTGGTGGTGGTGGTGGTGAAGCGATGGAAGCGTGGCGGTGGAGAGATGGCGAGGCGCGTGATGGATGGCGGTGCAGAGGAGGATGTCGACGCTGGCTGAGCTCGACTCGATGGGCTGAGCCTCGGTGTTGCTCTCTCTCTCTCTTCTCTCTGTGTTGGAGCCGCTGCCCAAAAAAAAAGTGTTGCTCTCTCTGCCGCCGAGCTCTGTCAGTCGAGTCGCCGTTTCCGAGCCAACGCGAAAATACGCGTCTGCGAGGCCGCCCATTTCCCTCTTTCGCCCGGCAGTTGTGTATTTTCCCTTTCCACGCGCGCGCGCCCGTGCCCTCGCATTGGGAGGGCGCGCCAAATCCACATCACGTGCCGCCGTCGCCTCCTCCGCCTCCACATTCGCACTCACTCGCACGACACCTTCACCCACCTCCACCGCTCACCACCATCTTCTTCCCCTTCTCCATCAACCCCACGACAATGTCGAGCACCGCACATCCGCATCGCAAGGGCGACCGCACCCGTAGCGCGCTCAACATATACTACTGTCTGTGCGGCGAGTTCGCGCTGGTGTGCGATCGACCGCTGTCCACGCTGCCCGTTCGTCCGCTCGACCAATCGCGCGTACTGCGCTGCCTCGACTCGCCACCCTACTCGACCACGGGCGCGCCGCAAAAGGTGCGCACCGCACGCGTGTTCAAGATCAGTGCCCAGCAGGCACCGGCCAAACTCATCAGGAGGTACGTTCATCCAAATCCCCACACTTGCCAACCGTCGCGGGAGAAGAGCAACTGACAGCGATTGCATGATGCAGGTCGGACGGAACACTCGAGAAGCAGTATCCGTTCGAGTGCGCCAGGTGCCACCTCCAGCTTGGATACGAACACACCCCACCACCACTCAAGAGCGGAGGCAGATTTACCTTCATCCTCCCAGGCGCACTCACGTAAGTCTCACCCATCTTCATAGATCGCCATGACAATCTCACTGACACTATGATCGTGCGTAGAGATCGACAGGGCGTTGCTCCACCAGATGCTTTCCTCGAACAGCTACTCACCTCCATACCACATGCAGAGCACGACGCGCAAGGGCCAAAAGCAGAATGAGGACAAAGAGGAATCGATTAAAACAATTCGAGAAAAAAGTAGGAACTACGAAGACGAAAGAGATTTGGTATGCAGTGCAGCTGAAATACTTTGGATATCTGAATGAGCATAGGTACGAAAGCTATGGTATCATCGAGAGGCGGAAAACGAATCCGATGCAGAATTAGACAACGGCGGGGGTGTTGCGGGCATCGACGGTCGAGGTGAGCGTGGGCTTGACACCCAGTTCGCGCTCGAGCTTCTCGGCAAGGCCATCGACCTTGCGGTCGCACTTGCCCGTGTTGAGCAGCTTGGCATCGTGGATCGATCGCAGCGAGTTGGTAAGGTTGCCGCCACCGGAGAGGAACTCGTCCTTGGAGACGGCCTTGTGGTGGGTGGACTCGTGCACGATGGGAGCCTCGTGGGTGACGACGTGCGTGGGGATGGTCGTCTGGATGCGGTGGTACTCGTGCGTGTCCTTCTGGATGATGGGCTGGACGACGTTGTGGATGTGGTGGTGGATGTGCTCCTTGACCACCTCACCCTTGTCGATCACCTGGCGGTGCAGAGGAGCCTCGGCGTACTTGTCGGCATGCTGACCCGCAACGCTCGTGAGCAGCGTAGCATCCTTGTCGGTCGAAGCGTGCGTCTCGTGCACCTTGGTCACGGGGTGGATCTTGTTGTGCACCTGCTCCGCCGCGTGCTCCGAGTCGAGAACCGGCTGGGTGTGGTGCTGGATGTGGTGCACGTGGCGGTGGTGCTCCTTCTGGCGCAGCACCTCCTCCACCTCGTGGCGCTGGTGAGTCTGGTGCGTGACGGGTGCAAGGTGCTGAACGTCCTGCACAACCTCGCCGTTGGACAGGTCGAGGTGCTTGTTGGCCAGCACATCGTGGCCGTGCTTGTGGCGGATGGTGCCGTCCTTGGCGTGCACGTCGGCAGATCGGCCAAGACCGTGCTCGATCTTGTCCTTGATCTTGTCACCCGTGGTCTCGCGGGTGTGGGTGCCGTTGGTAGTGGCCGTGGTGGCACCAACGCCGGCAGCACCAACACCGGCACCAGCCATGGTGCCCATCTCCTTCTGGCGCTGAACGGGCGAGCCAGGGTTGGAGGTGGGGGCAGTCGACGACGACAGACGACCGTCGTCCGACGAGTCGTCGCCCGAGTGCGAGCGGCGCGAAAGGACCTTCTTGACAGAGTTCATGTTGAGCGTGGGTAGATGGGGAAGAGTATGCTGTGAGTGTTCAGAGCAATGGTATCGATGAGGAGAGAAGATGGTAACCGGCTCAAGAGGTTGATCCTTATAACCCTTTTGCGACGCCAAGGTTTGGCTGTTGGGACAAGCAGCGTAGCGAGCTGTCTACAGCGATGCCCCCAGGGTCATGGCAATGCTTCTACGCCTGCCTTGTGTCTTCGCAAAACCGTCTAGCAAAGCGTTGAATGTCGTCACCTCGTGCTGGGAGCGTCGCTGGTCGGTGCACCGAGCTTTGGCAGGCGAGCCTCCGCTCGCGGTGCGGCCAATGACGCATGCCTGGAATGCTGAGCCGCGCTGACTGACCGGGTATCCAGGGCGCGAGCGTCGCCATGATGTCAGAGCGAGCCGATGGCAGCGGCAGGAACTGGCGGACAAGCTCTAAATCCAGCCACGGCAGCCTAAAGCGGCAGCATGGCGGCAAAATAAGGCTCACTGCTGACAGCTGCGAACGGTCAACTTGCCACACGGGCACGAGCGCGCACGACTCCAAGGTCGCCGATGCACTCGCTCCATCGTTGCCTGGTGGAGGTCCTGTTTCCAGTCATCCCTCTTGCTTGGCTTGAGGTGGGTGCGGGCAACGACGTCAGGTCTCTCCACTGCACGAAGCTGTCCAGCTGGTTCTCGGCAGCCGTATGCGACTTGGCGAGACCGCGCGCGCGCGCTACACAAGCCGGTTGGGCTGGATTGGACATCTGACAGCGGTCCGGGCGGAAGGGCAAAGTGAGACACCGAAGCGAGAGTCTAGCTTTTCCGGACAAAGGTCAAAGGCGAGGCGAGGCGAGGATGCGGTGCGAGAACCGCCTGCAACTTCGTAAGCGGAACGGAGGCTCGAGCCGGGCGTGACGTCGCGAGCACAGCTTGACAGCTCGAGAGCCGGTGGCTTTTTTGCGCATCTCGAAAAAAGAAGCTGACAGCCCTGCCAAAAATGCGCGCGCCCAAAATTGTCGATTGCCAAAAATACCGCCTTTCCGCCTTCCCCCAACTTGCCCAAAAAGAAAAGTTGCGCAGCACTGCCCAGGCGCGATCGACGAGTGCAAGGCATGCTGCTGTGCTGAGGTGTGCTGAGGCTGTGAGGAATCATCTTGCACACCTTGCCTCATGGTCCGTCGCACGGTCCAGGACCTCTTTGCTTTCCGCTGCAAGTCGCGCTTGGTCTTGCAACGAGCCGCCGGCATGGGTCCCACCAGTCGCACGATCCACACCGCCATTTCGCAAGCCTTTCGACAGCATTTGCCCAACCACGCTCTCTGCACAGTTGGCATGTGGTCTAGCGTCATAATGTCTAGCTTCACTCCATCACATCACCTCGCACACTCTCGCACGCCAAGTATCCAGGCAGCTCTAAAGCTAGTGAGACTTCGGTACGGCCAACGTTCGCTTACCCGGCATGACACCTCGCTATCTGCCAATGTCTGGATGCGGTGTTCGATGCATGTGATCCCCAAAATCACCCGGACCCTCTCTACCGCATGACTTTCGACCAAGCGAGATAGGCAAGCTATGATGGGAGTCGGTGAGACACATGACGGCAAAAAAGAAACACCAAAAAAGCGACGTTCGACAGCCGGCTTCCCTTTCCAAATCCCAACCTCGATTTTCGCCCTCGGATTCTTTCCTCCTGCCGAGACACTTTAAAAAATGCCGAAAGGGCCGTCGACGTAGCTTCTGGAATGTGGAGCCTCCCTTCCCCCAACACACACCTCCGCGTCATCCATCCTCAACCATCCACCGCGCTCCAATCCCATATCGCACACCACACCCATCCAATCACATCCGGCTCGCACCCTCCCAATCCCACCAGCCCTCCCTGACTTCAAACAGAAAGCAGCCTAACGTCAATCGCGACCATGTGTGAAACAATATCCAATAACAAGAAATCCAATACAGCAGCATTTCAGCCGCATGTGTGTATATACAGGGTGAGGAAAAATTACGACGGCGATTCCATAGTCAAGTCTGCACGATGATGTCCAGTTCCAAGTGAATCAAGAGCGAGCGAGAAAGAGCGACTACGCCTCGGCCGAGCCCGAATTGCGTCGGCTCTCGCTCCCGCTGCCCGTGCCGCTGCCGTGGTTGGAGCCGTCCTTCTCCGACGTGTCGCCCGAAGTCGTCGTCGTGGCCGCCGTCTCGTCCGACGCATCGCCCGAGCCCGACCGACGCTCGTTGGGCGCGCGCTCGCCAAACGGCGAGATCTCGGAGCCAGAGCTGCTGCTGCTGCCCCGGTCCGTGCTGCTGCCCGCGTGCAGATACGCCAGCGTCGCCGACGGACGCAGATGCTGCCGGTGGCCGTGGCCGTGGTCCGGACGCCGCTTGATCGGGCTCGGCGTCTGGATGTGCGGCACCGCAGACACCTGACCGTTGCTGAACGACATCGGCTCCATGTGTGCGCTGTGCCTCCGTCCACCCGCCACGGCCGACGTCGGACTCTGCGGATTCGAGAGTTGCACGCCGTTCGTCGCCACGCCGCCCGCCGCACCGCCAAAGTGGTCGCGCGACTGGCGGCGCAACGCCCGAATCTCGTCTTTGAGTCGACGGTTGACATTCTTGAGCTGATGCATCTCAAACACCCACGACGAGCTGCGATACGTCGACAGCTCGGCAAACACCGACGTGAGCGAGTCGACGCTTGTGCCCGTCGTGTCGAATGCAGGCTGCGGCCCGCCCTTGGGATACGCCACGTTGGGGATCATCCACGAGCTCTCCGCCGACGCACGCTGCACGTGCACAAACACCGTCTGTAGCGCCGGACCCGCGGCGGCCGACGATGGGTAGAACGACGAAAACACGGGCGTCGTGTTGGTGGCGCCGTCGCCCATAAAGTGCGACACGCTCATCGCCTGGCTGCTGCGTAGTGCTTGGAGCAGCGATGGTGCCGCCTCGTAGTTGGTCAACTCGAGCAGATGACGCCCAAAGATGTCCTTGCTGTCGCAGTTGAGCACCTCGGCGATGGGGCCCGTCGTGCTGAGAAAGATGCCGTCGATCGAGAGCTTGGACCAGAACGACGGCTGCGCCGACTCGGCGCCGCGGCGCACGTGCTCCCACGCCAGGTTGTACACGGGGCGCGGGCGGCCGCTCGAGATGACCACCTTGCGGCCCTTGCCCTGCTCGAGGTGCAACTTGCCCGTGCTCTCGATCCAGCGGTGTCCGTCGTGCTTGTGGCGCATGCGCATGATCAGATTGACGCGCGGGCCCGCCTGGCCTCCGCCGCCCTTGGTGAGCGGATTGGCGACGCCTTCGGTGCGGATGTTGCGCGAGGCAGCGGCGGCGATGCTGGCGTTGCTCGTCGAGTCCTTGAGCTCGCGGAAGACGGGCACGACGTCGCTCGGATGGCAGAACTCCGAGATGGATTTGCCGATCACCTCTTCGGCGGTGAAGCCGAGGATGCGCTCGATCGACGGCGACACGTAGAGGAAGGTGCCCTTGAGCGAGAGCACGTAGATGAGGTCGTGCGAATTTTCGAGCAGCACGCGCGACCACTGCTTGGCATCGCACGGACCGACGCCATGCATGAGGTCGAGGATGTCGGCGGCGATGGCGGCCTGCTTCGAGGCTTCGGCGTCGGCGTCCTTGGTCATCTCTTCCGAGCCCATGATGGCCGACGGGGGCGGATCGTTGATGGAACGGTAGTTGACCAGGTACGAGCCGTCCTCCTTGCGCTCGAGGATGGCGCCGGGCTGCTCGACGAGGTCGACCTGGAAGCCGACGAGGAAGTCGACCTGGCCAGGGTCGGACCACGAGACGGGAACGACGGTGACGAGATTGATGAACGGGCTGCCATCCTTGCGATAGTTGATGAGGCTCGCCTGGCATTCGCGGAATCCGGTCAGATGCCTTTTGAGGTGCTCGACGGCGCGGTTGTCCGTGTGCTGACGTTCGGTGCCCGCCTCGAGCGCGGCGCCGGGGGTCTGGAGGAAGCGGCAGTTTTTGCCGAGGATCTCGTGGAGCGTATAACCGGTGAGGTGGCAGAAGGTCTCGCTGGCGTAGATGAGCGGCTGCTCGGGATGGCGCGCGTCCGAGATGGCGAACGAGCACGAGAGGTCGACGGGGCCCAGCGCGATGCTCGGGTTGGGACGGGTGATGGCGCGCGAGAGGATGCCGAGCACATCGACGCCCGAGGTCGAGTACTTGTTGGCGGTGGCGACGGCCTCGCCCGACGTCGTGTTGAAGTTACCCTGATACACGGACGACGGAGCCTGGTCCAGGCCGCCTGCAAGCGTGCCGAGCGGGCCGGCGCCGTTGTGCATGAAGCTCGAGGCACGGCTGTCGAGCATCTTTTGGGGCGAGAGGCCGGTGGACGAGACCGAGGAGCCCGAGGAGTCGTTCATGAACGAGACGGTGCGCGTGGGGGGCGCAGGCACGGGCTGGAGCGGACTGCTGGAGATGTGGCCATCGTCGCTGCTCATGCCACGCTTGGCACCTCGGCCGGCCATGGGCGTGAAGGCCGACGTGGGCGCACCCGGAGCCATTGCGCTGTTGGCGTGTTGGGCGTGTGCCGAGTGCAAGCCCTGCTGCTTGGCAGCCTGACGCGAGAGGCGACGACGTTCCTGCAGGCTGAGGTTGGCCCTGGCAGCGTTGGGAGCCGTGACGCCACGATGGATGGGCGGCTGTGCGCGCCTGAAGGTGGTGACACGTGGGATGGACGAGGTGCTCCGGCTACCGCCGCCGTGGACACCAGAATTGGTGCTGGTGCTCATGAGCTGCGAGTGGTGAGCGGCGATCTGGTCGCGGTACGACGAGGTAACGTCGCGGGCCGTCTTGGCGGCATTGGCGGCAGCGGGACTGGCAGCCGCAGCAGCGGATGCCATGGGCATGGAGGCCTGACCGTTTCGAGCGCGAGGTACGAATGGGGAAGCGTTGAGACCGTTGAGGGCGGCATCCCCGGACGGAGCGACCGAGTCTGGAGCATTGACCGAGCCGAAGTCGAAGGCCGACGAGGGGTTTGCGGCGTTGGCGGGGTCGTTCATGTCCCACGCATCCATCAGGTCGTTTCCAAACGACTCGGAATAGTCGGTGGCGTACATCATGGAGTCGGATGGACCCATGAGGGATGAGGCGGGCATCATGTCGATGCCACCGTTCAGGCCTTGGTCGGAGAAGGAGGAGGCCATGTCGTTGGAAGGAGCGCCCAAGAGCGAGGGGTCCGGGGCTGTGCCATTGATCTTGAAAATATCGGAGGCGGGGTTGGCAGCGGTGGTGTTGGTTGGTGCGACAGGAGGAGGAGCGACGACGTCTGCCTGTGAAGGCGACGAGATGAAGGCGTCGAAATCGAATGTGTCGGCCATCATCGATACGAGGATTGCTGCCTACGAGACAGGTGGCAGCGATCGAATCAATTAAAAATAAACAAGGGAAGGGGGCCGTCTGTGAGGAGAGGCAGGTATACGGGAAAAGGTATAGGGTTGTTGAAGTGGGGCGAAGGAGAGCCTTGTGCTTGCGAACAAGTGAGCGCTGGCGTAGCGAATCGGACGCCGTTAAAGTGGGGAGGACGACTGAGAGAGACGAAGATAGCCTGGTAGGGGACTAGCTTTTTTTCTCAAAGACGTGAAGGAGAAGCTAGAATGGGTTTATGATCCTGGCTTTCCTTGGCTCGGATGGATGAGGGCACAAGACTGAGTCGGTGTTTGGTGAGTAAGAGGTTGGTGCGAAAAGGGACTGCGAGGTGGAGATGCGAAGAGAGTCGCGAGGAAGCAGTTGAGAAGGCAGAGCGATGTCGGCTGCCGAGAAAGAAGTGGGATGAAGGGGCGTAGAGGACTACGTGTTGATGGTCGCGAAATGCGCGACAGGCGCTAAGGACGTCGGCGAACCTTTCGCCTGCAACCTACTCCCAGCTGCTATTGAGCGCAGTAGAGGCGAGAGGTTGGGTTGGCTGAGGCTGCGACGCTCAGAGCCTTGTGATGGACGCGCAGGCGGTACGAGGTGAAGAGTGGAAGGATGAAGCGTGATGTGGCTGAGCGTGTGCGGCGACTGTGTCGATCTAGAGCCAGAGATGCTGTAGCTGCGAAGGCTGTTGTGGTTGGATGGTGTTTGGTGGCGATTCTTGGATCGATGCCAACATCAAAGCCAGCCTAGCAGACAAACACGAGGCGGAGAGAGAGACACGACTGCACGGAGAAGCTAGCGCCGTAGATCAATCGCTTGAATGGGATGATGTTGCTGCGATAGTAGTGGTGGCTGCAACGAAGGATGAGTGGATGGTTGGTCGGTTGGTCGGTTGTGATGTAGTGGTGGTGGTGTTGACAGATGAAGAGCTGAATGGAGCTGTGGTGGAATCCAAGAGACGGTAGCCTAGCGATATCGGAGGCCGTGTGGGATGGATGCCCAGAGAGGGACGAGTGTCGACGAAGAGGTCGGTGGAGATCAGAGTCTCATGGGAGAGTGAGAAGCAGTGACCGAAGATTGTAGCTCAGAGGCAACGATGGTGGTGAGAGTGGAAGGCGTGCGGCCGCAGCCTGGACGCAGGCATAGGCTCTGCTGTGCTCTGCCGTGACCTGCTGTGCTCTGCTTGCGCGCCCCGGGCATGGCGGTGAGGGAGAGGGCTGCAGCAGTGCCTGGGGGCGCGCCAAAAGGCTCAGTTGCGGGAGCGCCGTGGAAATTTTTGTTGGAGAGCGTCTGCTGCCTTCGGAATCCGAGTTGCGACGGTCAACGGGCGGTCGTCGACCCGCCTTGAAGACCCGCCTTGAGCCGGAGGGAGGAGAGGAGAGAGCCACAACACGCGCGCGCCCTCAGCTGCACGCGGACATGTCGGGCATCAGAGCACAAGAGGCGCGCGCCGATGGTCGTGGAAACAATTTATCCTACACTGCTCCCACGCCCAGCTTTGAGAAATGCGAGTGTCCAGCAATTGCGTCTGCGTTGCGTCAATTACGCGTTCAACTTTTGCCGTCCTAGCCCCGACGCACGCATCTCGATGGAGCCATTCCAACCGCGCTTCCTATCGGTATGTCATCCCATCATCCCGTTCAGCCAACTTAGTGAAGAGATCGAAGAGCCAGCAGATCAAAGCAGCGTCGCCCGCAGCTGCCCAAAGATCCGACTGCCTATGTTTAGATGGAACGATGAGCTCGAAGGGGCCCGGCCATTTCACGGCCAACGTCGAGAAGAAGCCAATGCTGCGTCAGCTCAAGTGTGGCAGACGCAATCCAGGATCGAGACCCGTGCCGAGCCGCCTGTGTGCCGTACGGTATGAAACGCAGAAATCTACGGTACTTGTTGCCGTGGGATCGTCCGTGGGTGGACCCCAGGGTTCAGGTTCGCACGTCGACGCTCAACGCCACAAAGCCCATCCGCCCGTCCGCCCGTAAGCGCGCGGGGCCGGTGGGCGCGTTGTCGATGTTTGGCTGTGGCTGGTGATCAATGTTACATTTGTGGCGCAGCGCCCGTGTGAAATCCAATTTCGGCCGTCCCGTGCGGCAGCGTTCCGCGCGCGATCAACGCGACGGCAACCCCTCTCGCCTTTGCCTGCTGCTGCTGCACGCGACTCCGGATCAGCCGACAGGCCAGTCGGACATGGTGCCGAACACAGCCGATGTCACTGCCAAACTGGCTCAGCTGAGCATTCGTCGCCATTCGTCGGCGGCTGTTGATTCGGCAGTGCCGCCAGTAGAAAGGCCGCTTCGACTTGTCGTACGTGTGCGATCGCCGATTTTCTTTCCCCGATTCGAGGCTACACCGATGGGAACGCGCGCCCGTGTGACGGGAAAATTGGAAGAGCGCAGAGGCCTCTCAACACGACATCGACCATCGTCGCTCTCCACCTGCACATCGCACCTTGCCCAACAACAGACTCGCTAGAGCATCGCCCGCTAGCATGGAGGACGACGACGACGCTTTTCTGTACGGCGACGAGCCCGCTCCGGCCCCCGCTGCCGCCTCCAAGCCAGACGCTGCTCCCGCCAATGGCGCTCCATCTTCTGCCGATGCTGTTGCCAACACGACAGAATCAACCACAACAGCGCCGACCAATGCCGGTCAAAAGGATCAAGAGGACGAAGGTGACGACGACGACGACGACGACGACGATGGTGATGACGGCGACACCGACGACGACGACAGCGACTCGGACATCGAGTTCATCATCGATGCTACCCAGGAAGCACAGCCTCAAGCGCGTCCTGGCGCACGACCCGCCGTTCCAGGCGCACGTCCTCTGCCCACACAGAGCACGCCGCAGCGTCCACAATCTACGCTCACATCCGAGTACACGCCACTCTCTCGCTCCCAGCTTCTCGCCAATGCCAGTCCAGCGTCGGCAGCGCCAGCGGGTGCACCGGGTGCGCCACCACCTCCGCCCGGCGCGCCTCCCGTCAAGCCCCAACTGGCCAGCGACACGCTTGGTTCCGAAGGCGGCCCTCCTGCTGTGCCATCCACAGCACCCAAACTCAACCTCTCCCCCGGTCCCGAGGAGCGAGCCTACCCGAAACCAGACGACGTGGTCGAGGAGGAAGAATGCTCGGCGCGCGACATTTTTGACATTGACCTCGAGAGCCTTGCGGACAAACCTTGGAGGCGGTACGGAGCCGATCTGACCGACTACTTCAACTACGGCTTCAGCGAGGACTCGTGGAGCGTGTGGCGCGCCAAGAAGGAGCACATGACCAGCGCGCGCAAACAAACCGAAGCCAGCCTGTTTGGCGGTCCTGGAGGCGAGATGCCCAACGTGCAGCAGATGATGGCCATGATGCCGCCCCCGCAGGCCATGCAGGCCATGATGTCGCAGATGGGCAACGGCGCAGCTGGGTCTATGGGTATGCCGCCCATGCCGCCCGACCAGATGATGGCCATGATGGCCAGCATGTCCGGCATGCCTCCCATGCCCGGTATGCCGCCGCCCATGATGATGCCAGGCATGTTTGGCGGCCAGCCGTTCAACGGCGATCCGAACCAGCCTCGACAGGACGGGCAGCACTCGCCTTACCCGCCGCAGGATCCGGACAAGGAGCGGGAGGGCGCTGCACGCGGCTGGGATGCGCCCGCAAGCCCACGACGCGGCGGCGAGGCGTCCGCATCCAGCGACCGCCGCGGCGAGGACGAAGCCAACGATGCGCCGCTCGGCCCGTTGCCGCCCAGCGTGCCCATGAAGCCGATGTCCGGTGCGGACATGTCGGCGTTCTTTGGCGCGTCGGGCGTCGACGCTTCGCAAGTAGCAGCCGCAGGCATCCCCGTTCCGCCCAACGGTGCCGATGCACCCGACCCCGCCGGAGCGCCATCCAAGAAGGGCGGTGCCCACACCAAGCCCGGACACTCGTCTCGCGCGCCTCCACCCGGTGCAGCGCCTGGTGCGCCCAAGGGCACCTCGATCCGTGGGCGGGCAGCGGCGGCGGCGGCGGGCAGTTCGCGCGGTGGACGCGCAGTCTCGCCGCTGCCCGCCAACGTGCCTTCGGGACCACGCAATCCGGGCAAGCGGTACAACGACCGGGATACGGGCACGGGTGCTGCCGACGCGCTCGACTACGGTGCCACTGCCGGTGGGGATGATGATCGCGATCGACGCGGCCACGATGACGAGTGGGATCGCGGTCGGGACTACGGCCGCGATGCGAGTGGGTGGGACATGTCGCCGCGCGATGATGATCGTCGACGCGGTGGTCGAAGTGGTCGCAGTCGACGCGAAGGCACGTACGACTCTGCGTCTGCAAACGGACGCGGGGAGGATGACGGCTATTCGCGTCGGGGTGGAGCTAGGACCAAGCGCGACGAGTGGGATGACGATACTGCCTCGCAAACCTCGGCGAGCGGTAGGAGAAGGAGGGGAGGAGGTTCGGCACGGGATCATCGGTCGGAGCCGCGCGAGAGGGAGCGCGAGAGGGATAGGGATGTGCATCGATCGGACCGCGACCGCGAGCGTGAGCGTGAGCGCGAACGCGAACGCGAAGTTCGCAGCCAAGCACGATCCGAACGTCGAGCCGGCCGGGACCTGGACGATCCAGCCATCCCCACGGGTCCAGCTGCTCAAAGCGCTAGGGCAGGTCGAAAGCGAAGTGCACCCGAAGACCGCGACGACGACGAGCACGATGCGCCGCAAAAGAGCTCAACCAGAAGCCGAGGCGGCCGCAAAAAGCGCTAAGCCTCATCCTCCTTCTGAACTCAAATGGATTCTTTCTCTCCGTTTTCCCAGAATCGCAGTTGTGAAACGTTCGTGTGCAGGAAGGGGTATATTGCACAGAAGACTCGAATGTGGTGAGTGTTTATCGTAGGTGTGCCTGTCTGTCGGGATGAACGAATGGCGATGGTCCGGCTTGCTCTGGGCTTTGCCTGGTTTGAGTGGGATTTGGGGTGGGGATTGAGGTGATTCGGATGTATTTGCCATCGATCTGGCCGCCAGTTAGGTAGAGTGTAGCTTTCGCAGCTTGTTCTTCAGTCTCCATCTGCACGACTGCCTCATCGTGGCGGAGATCAATGTGCAGCACTCGACCATACCACCCCAGAATATCCGCTAGGTGTGTGCGTCGGATGTTGGACGTGAGCCCACTGATTCGTACGGCCGTTTTGGCCGCCGGACTACCTTTGCGAGCAACAGGAGCGGATGCCGACATCATGCTGGATGCTCAGACATGGAGGCAGACCAGCAAGATGCGAATGCAAAAAAAAATCCCGTGCGCACATCTTGCAAATTTCAACAGTGGAGGCCGCACCCACTTTGCAGTCAACCCGCAACCTCTCCAACCCACGATCTTGGCAGTCAAACTACACTTCATTGACTTGTTTGATCAGATGGCCTTGAGGACGTTCTCAGCAGCAGTGACGGTAACATCAGGCGCATTGTCCTCGACAAAAGCCTTGCGAACTACACCACCCTCGACGACAAACGCGTACCTCTTGGATCGGTGTCCACCCAACAGGCCCGTTGCGTCAAAGCTCTGACCGACCGCCTTCGTGAAGGCGCCAGTGTCGTCGGCGAGGAAGTGCACATTGGCCGCCGAGGCGCCGTTGAGCTTCTCCTTCCATGCGGCAACGGTGAACTGGTCGTTGACAGCCACAATGTAGATCGCCTGCACGCCCTTCTGCGCGAACTCGCCTGCGTGCGAGATGTAGCCCGGAACCTGCGACGAGCAAGGACTGCAACACGACAGACAAGCCCATCAATAAGCTGTGCGGGAAGTTTTGGTGGCAATGTGTCAACTTACGGGGTGAAGGCACCGGGAACACCGACGATGATCGTCTTGCCCGTGAGATTGTCGAGCGAAACATCGGCGTTTTCGGGGTTGCTCTCCTTGAGCTTGATGCCCGTCTCGAGCTTGGCGCCCTCCTTGACGTCGCCCTTGATCGCGGCCTTGATCTTGTCGGTGAATGACATGTTGAATGGATTTACGGTTGTTTGTGTGTAGCAACCGCGGCCGGGGTTGGATGGAGAGGAGGCTATATATCTGTTGTTCTCGGTGGAGGTCAGGATGAGGTGCTCGAATGCAGCGCGGCACGCAACTTTGCATCACATTGCCGCGCCACTCTCTTTGCCGCCCTCACGCCAGCGAATCGGAGGCAACGCTGAGGTGGAACGGGCCAAAAGTGGCTGCGCTTCGACAGTCATCCAGCGCAGCGAGCGTCCGGGCGAAGGGGCGAGAGAAAGGGTGGCGAGTCTTTGACCCGCACCGGCCACTCGAAATGCAAAGTGGAGGCCGAAGTGCGAAGTGGCTCTTCGTCATCGGAGGCACCGATGCAGCCATGTCGCCCTCCTGCCTTGGCTCGCCTCGCATTTGCCTTGCCTTGGCTCGACGGGATATTGTGTGCGGCCAACAAGTCTCGGTCTCGCCGGTGCTCGAGCTCTGGATGAATCACAGATCGGATCAGTCCCGCCGCAGGTAGGCTTGCGTGGATGTCGGGTCGGCGAAATTACGACTGTCATGTGCGGCGAGTCGCGCGCGTGAGGTTCCCCACCGACGCTCGGACGCTCGGGCCAGCCGAGAGAGTGTGTGCAGCTGTGATTCTTCACGAAGAGCCGCTCTCCGCTCCAACCCATTGCAATCTTGCTCGTCCGACTGACACTCGCACTCTCGACCCGCAGTCGCACATTGAATCCTTCTCTCCTCCTCGCTCGTGCTGCACCGTGATGGCGACGCGCAAGCTGCGGGTGGGCGTGGTCGGCGCGGGCGAGGTGACGCAGGTGGTGCATCTGCCCACGCTCAAGCTGCTGCACGACCACTACACCGTCACAGCGATCTGCGACGTGTCGCGCGCGGCGGCCGAGCACGCTGCTGCCAAATGGTCGATCGCGCACTCTGGCACCTCGAGCGCCGAGATGGTGCGGCGCGACGATATCGACGTGGTGCTCGTCGCCAACAGCGACGAGTACCACACGCAATGTGCAAGCGAGGCCGCCGATGCGGGCAAGCACGTGTTGATCGAAAAGCCCATGGCACTCACCCGGTCCGACGCCGCTGCCATCCAGCAAGCCGCACAGCGAAACGGCGTCAAGGTGTTTGTCGGCTACATGCGGCGATACGCTCCGGCATTCCAGCTCTTCCAGAAGCTGCTCGCCGAGTCCGGGCCCATTCGACACGCCATCGTCAAGGACATTATCGGTCCCAACAGCTTCTTTGTCGCGCAGTCCGGTACGCAGCCGCGCACGTTTGGTGGCGATATCCCGCAGAGTCTCGGCGCCGACAAGGCAAGCCGTGCCCAGGCGATCCTCGAGCAAGCCATCGGCAAGGACAAGGCGTCGGACGCACGACTGGGCGCGGTGTACCGCTTGCTCGGCTCCTTGGGGAGTCACGACCTCAGCTTCATGCGCGAGGCACTCGGCGGCAAGCCAGACCGCTGCCTATCGTCGTTCGCCAGCCACGACGGACAGTTCATCTCGGCGTCGTTCGAGTACACCAACGCCGGCGGACGCAAGGGTGCCGACAAGTACAATGTCCTCTACACGACCGGCATCCACAACGTCGGCGTCTTCGAGTCGTTCCTCGAGGTCTTTACAGACGATCGTGTGCTGCGTATCGATATCGACACGCCCTACGTCAAGGGCCTCCCCATCAACGTCACCGTCAAAGAGAACGACCAAAACGGACACTACTCGGAAAGAGTCATTCGCCCGACGTACCAGGATGCCTACACCACCCAGTTCCTCGAGCTCCACCGAGCGCTCACGGGAGGTAGCGACCTCAAGACCACGCCTCAAGATGCTGCCGACGATCTGGACGTGTTTGAGATGATCATGGTCCAGCTCGACCGCTGAAGTGCGCATGGGTCCGCTTGCTGTAGCGGCAATGCGAGGCAGCCGATTTCATTTCTCCATGTCAATCTGCAACCTGCATTTCACGCTCCAAATTTCCATCCTCCCGCCGCCAGCCGCCAAAAATTCCAAATCTCGGTTCGACTCGACTCGACTCGACTCGACTCGACTC